TACACTACAGTACAGTACACTATAGTACAGTACACTACAGCAGTGACGTACCGTGTATTTCTCACCTAGACCTTCAGGGGCGTCCTGCCCGAGTAAATCCATATCTTAATGACGTCACGGGGTCTATAAAAACCAGCTAACCGTTTTAACATTACATACCAACATTAACAGTTTATCTATCCGTAATTAACATTGGTAATAACAACAACGTCTTTCGTAATTTTATTCTGGACAGTGGGAATCGTCATTTGCGAACGTATCTGTAACGTAATTTTGACCAGACGAAACGACAGAAATGTTGTATAACGCCATAACGACGTCATTACTAAAACGACACTAAGCACGATTTAGCTTTAGCCGTACATAAAAAATAACCAAATAATATTAGTATTATTAACAAATTAAGAATTGTAAACTAATTTGTCTCACCAACTCTCCTGGTTCGTTGTTCACCAAATCCCTCCTCCTCTTGAGATGAGTTCAGTGACGCTGTTGTACAGATTATCCGTGAGCTCCAGTTCTAACAACTAGTTTGACTTTTCTTTCTCCTTCCAAGCTAACGACCAATGTCCAGCCTGTCCTTTCGTATTTATGGAATAAGTTTTAACTCGCTTCAGGCTGAGAATGTTCTCGGTGGACGCAGAGAAAAGTTCATCTTCAAGTCGCGGGAGTTGCTGGGTGAAGTTCGGTAGATCAAAGGCTGTGAGTTCTCTGACCAACCAATCAAATCACTCAAATCGCCAATACAAGCCTTGATATGCCAGTTTGATGCCATGACCTGATTGGTTAATGAAACCATCTTGTTGCTATTCATTTTATACTTCCAGCGCCAGCACTTCTGATTGTGAAGGCCTTAGGGCAGATTTAGTTGACCCTGGCAACACGAGGCTGAGATATGATTGGATAAAAAACTCCAAATACAAAATATGAATAACGAGAACAGAATACTCTGGATTTTATATATAAAATACATATATATGTATTATATATATATGTATTATATATGTATATATATATACACACACAGAGAGAGAGAGAGAGAGAGAGATACAGTAGATAGGTAGATTAGTCAGAGAAGGCTGTGCTGGCCTTGATGGTCGGCCATTGAAGTACAGTGCAGTACAAGTACAGTACAGTACAATACACTACAGTACAGAGCTTTGATCTCACACCTGTTGTCACAGGGTCACAGGTTTGAATCTCCCTCACTGTAGTGTGTTGAGCCAGCTCTAAAACACACTCACACACACACACACATCCTGGCTGTGTCACGTTGACCTGCAGTTCCACTTGGTTTGTGCTTCCACTGACTCCAGTCTTTGTCAGCAGCTTTTCTTCAGTTTTTGAACAGCAAACCCAAATGTGATGATCACATGACACTGCATTCAAAACCACACTGCTGTTTAAAACAGTTCCAGAAGAACCGGGTGAAAACACCTGATAATAGAGCGGTGCTGAAGGCCGGTGAGAAACCTCTGGGTGGAATCAAGCCGTGACGCTCTAACAACGCCACTCAATCACTGCTGCCGCGCTGCTGGGAATTTATAACAGCCACACTATTGGACTCAGAGATGAAAAAGCA